AAAAAAATATATTCAGTTGACTTTGTTTTATAATGAGTATTGATGTTTTTATTTGGTAGGTATAAAAAAACAAATGTTTAATAGATAAACGGTCGAAACAACTAGTTTGGGCTAAAATTACTGATAAGCATTGGCTGTCTATTTTAAATAGATTGTAATTATTTTTCACAGATTTTTATTTATTTATTTATTTATTTATATATTTTATTATTATAAAATTTTTATAAAAATAACCCTAAATTTTTATAAAATGTAGACAATCAAGCATAATATATAATATCGTTGAGCATATATATTTTAGCCTAATAATCTTAAAATAAAATACTATAGTTCACTGTGATAGCTAGAAAATACATAAGTACACATTTAAGATAATTTCAAAATTTTTAACTCCTTAGGTTTGCACATGCACAATATACATAACTTGGTTTTTTTTGAAAAGCTACTTATTGTTTTTACCAGTAAGTTATAGATAGATCTTTTTTTATCCAATGATGATGATCCTAAATCTAAAATTGACTGAGGCTTACATGCAGAAAATAATTCAAATTTTTTGATTTTTCTGAAAATAAGCCATACTGTCTTGAATTTTTTTGYATGATTTATTTTTTAACTTATAAAATGTTCAACACTTGGTGTTCTTTTTTAATCTAAGAGCATCAGACTGAGATATTCAGTTGTATATATAAGACGAGACACACAATTGAATATTATACAACACATATTTGTTGAGAATTAATATCTTAGAATTTTAATATTTTAACAACAAAAAATACTCACTTCAAAATCTACATATCCAAAGCCTTTGCTCACGCCAGTTGCATTATCACGGACTATACGCACAGCTGATATTGGTCCACAATCTTTAAAATAATCCCATATTTCATCTTCCTGAATACCTTCATAAGAGTAAATAATTTGACTTAATATAAAAATACACTATATAAATCAATTATCATTTTCTCGGTTAATTTTTATAATTTTCAGAATGTTTAAAATTTATTTATTTCATCTTTAATATGAGTGGCCAAACTGCAGATCGTATCATAGATTTATGATGCGAGCCACATTTTAACACTTGTATTTGATGTATAATTAAAGTGACGATTTTTATAAAACTGAGTATTTTTATTTTTCAAAATTCAAGGATTTTTTTTGTTTTCGTTAGTCAGAACCTAATGATAAACTTATCCTGCATATTTTGAAAAAATCAACAATTTTGAAAAAAAAATTATTTAAAGTTTTTACCATATTGCACATTTTATAGTTATTTTCAAATTTTGAATGCATATTATATTAAGGTATATTTTAAAACTTTTAAGAACACATAAACTCACACTCTAAATATAATATAAAAATAGGTAATTATTCTTTTTCTTAATCTTCATATTATTTTTCATTATAACGTGCGACCTGCGGCAGGTACATGAACAATTCTAAAAATACCGATAAAATAAACAACTGATCCAGTTTAGAAATCATAATAATAATCTCAAAACCTGTAGGTATTGCCATATAGGTGTGAAGTTTGTGTATTGTTATTAATAGAAAAGTAGGTACTTCATAAAAGTTAATAAACTGAAAAATTTGACTGAATATCACTCACTATAGGGAAGATTTCCAATAAATATTCCTTTTTTCATATTCTGCTTATGACCCGTATTTAAAGCCATATCTACTCTAATTGTATGTCCTTCAAACTGTGTAGCGTTTAAAACCAATGATTTTTGTGCCTGTTCTATAGTTTTGAAACGTACATAAACATTGGCAGTATCTCTCTGTGGATGAAAATCTCCTTTCATTATGGACACACGTTTAGGCACTTCAAGATTTTTGACAGCAACACTTCTTAATCTAGTAGTTTCTACTTCTCCAAACGGTTTGAATAATTTTTTTATTGCTGACATTTTAACATTAACTGGGACATTGCCAACAAACACAGTTCTTGATTCTTTTTCAGTATAATCCTCAGTAGATTTTATATCCCTATAAACAGATTTATAATAAAACAAATTACTATACACACCATACAATTTTTTTAGTTATAAAAACTACTTACCGTGAGTCAGAAGTAGATAATTTTTTTTCAGTTCTACTAGTTTTATCATTAGGTATAGTTGAATTATCTTTTGTTTTTTTGTTTTTTTTAATTTTTTTTTCAAAAGTTTTGG